ATCTATTGAGATGTAGTGATGTCATCCATCACTTCTGTTGCAGAGATCAGCATTGAGTGAGCTTCAGTTTGTCCTTCCCCTTTGTTTTATGACTTACCAGCATACTCGTTTTTGGCAGGAGTACATAGACCTTAACTTGTCTGATAGATCTTGGTGCCTCTGGTTAATCATTACATATTAGAAAATATGACTCTGTTCATGTGTGGTTCAAACTGTTCTTCAGATGCCATTTAATTTATACATTAAGTTTCCCTGTACTCTTATCAGTCAAGGCAAAAGTCCACAGAGAGAAGGCAATGCTTTATGTTCTTGTCCTTGATATTATTAGAGCTTCCTGTAGTAGGTTTTATAATGTAGCTAATGATTTATATTTGTAATCTTTTTCTTCCCTGTACCGTTCATCTCTTGGAATAGTTTCTTAATGTTTAAGTAATTGTGATTTTCATTTCCTGTACTTCATGTTGTTCTTCCAATGGATTCAGGATTCCAACAGGAACTCAAATGCAATTTCTTTTTCTTTTTTTTTTTTTTTCCTTTTTTAGTATTTTTAGGTTGTTTTATACTTTCTGGGCATTCTTTTGTGTTGTGAGAAATGGCTTAGATAAAATCATCTTGTATGAACTAGACGTTTTAGGGTTTTTTTTTTTATTATTATTATTTTTTTAAGTAATAGATGCATTTGATTTCAAAGCTAAATTCTCAGTCCTGTGTGTAAAAAACCATAATAGCATAATGTAGAATTTACCAGTCAATAATAGCATAAACCTGGATTAACTTACATAGCATTCAAATTTTTGCAGTTTAATTTACCTGTTTTATGGTAACAGATGTGATCTAAGCCTGTGTTCCAAAGTCACAAAATATTGAAATTCTTTCTTTTGCTTATAAGATAACTTTACCAGAGAGCACAGCTCATTGTATCTCACTGTATTTTTATTTATTTATTAAGGATTCTCATCGCTTTGGAAAGAATATCCAAAAAGCAATGGTTGACATCATGGGTTTGTTTCAACCTCCTAAAAACTGTACCAAATGATTTGGGTTATTGCCACCAAGCAAACTCCCATCGTTGGGATGGAAACTCTTCTGAACAGCGAATGAAAGCAAGGTTTGCAAAAACACTGGCTGGTGAAGAAACTGAGTCACATCGAGTTGATCTTCTATGAAAACTTTAGCCATGGTTTGAATGTTTCATGAATATTTTTTTTTAGTAGTTTGGAAGCATTTAGTTCCACAAAGGGCAACTTTTACAATTTTATACATATCTAGGGATGAAGTATACCACTATTGCACGAAGGCATGTATATTCTAACTCAGTTTTTTTCTCATTTTTTTTCTTGTTCTTAATATTATTTGAGTCCACTTGTATTCCAGAATGGAAGGGGTAAAACATATCAAGTCTTAAACTCAAAGCCTTTAAAAGATTTGATTCGGTATGCATTGATAGCAGGATGTTCTTCAGAGTATCTGCTGCTTTATTTCAACAAATGACAACTCTTCTGGCTGTTTACCTTCATTAACATCTTTAAAGGTAATTTCTATATGAGATTAGAAAAAAAAACCAAACAATCATAACCTAGTGCAACACATCCAACTGGTGTGTTTCTTTTTGGGAACAACTATGTGCTACAGCGAAGCAGTAAAATATGCAAATTAGCAGGTATCAAACTTTCCTTGTTACTTATAAGCACGTTTGCCACGTGATTGATTTTATATCCATATAAATGAACCTGTGTGCTTGTTTGTGCCAGTGCCTTAGTAAAAGAAATACCTTGAACACGGGAGAAAAGCTTATGCTGGGAGTTGGTTTTACATTATTTCTGTGGAGGGGAAACAGCAATGCAGATCTAGTTCTGAAATTATAAATTAGGGGGCTATGATATAAGTAGAATTGAATTTGCTTGTGTATGGTGCAGCTAGGTTCAAAGCTCTGATGAGATGATCTCCTCTTACATGGCAAAGACCATTCTCTAAAGTGCAGGAGTATCTTTTCAGAGCTGTGGATACTCATGATCTCATTTTGCTGAGTGGTATTAGTGATTCGCTGAGAGAAGAGTTTCTGGGTCCTAGGGAATGTAAATATATTTAAACTCAGACCTGTTAGATAATCTATGAATCAATGCTGCATGTAGAGGCTGAGCAATTGCAGTTTGCTAGGTTTCAGTCTGAAAGGACCAGAATTGCATGGTCAGCTCTCTGCATGAAACAGGCTGTGAAGGCAATGGAAAATAGCTCCAGAATGGGGAAATTATGGCCTTCTCAAACCTCTTCTGCATGGCCCTTTGTGTCAGGCAGTTTCTGAAACACGCAACAAAAATGGGGGTGGGAATAGGGCAGACAGTTTCACTGAAAAAGGGGCGTATTTGTAAGTGCAGAAGTAAAATGATTGCTACAAAACTGAAGTAACTTGGTGTGCTATGCTACTCTTCCTCAAACTTTTATCGGTGTCATGACTTTTTTAGATCACACGATACAGTGCACCTATGAGGGCAAATTTATTTTTCTGGGAGTAAAAGGTACAAAATATTTAGTAATGTTGCTCCAGAGCTGTGCTCATTTTGAAAGCTCTCCGGGGGTGCTGTGAAACTTCTCATTAGGTTTTTTGGATTTCTTTTTCTGGCCAGTATTTCTAACTTGATATGCCTCTACATGTGTTTTGTTTGTTTTTTTTTTTCACTCTGATCTAGCTGTTGAAACACCTGTTATGTGTATGTTTGAGGTGGAAAACCTCAGCAAAGCTCCTAAACGCATACATAAGCAAATACATGCTTACATAAATACAGGTTCCCCCGTAGGAATTGGCCAAAGATGCCCATTATTTGATTGGATGAAGTTTGTGGGAAAGGAGACTTTAAAATAAGCCTTACTGCAGCTAACATTTACCAAATTCCTGCATCAATGTTATAGTGATGTGTTTTTCTGGAGCTGCAGAAATAATGCACTGTTTTTTTTATTGACCACTAACCAGTCTGTGCTTAAATTAACACAGGGCTTCTAGGATTTTCCAAAAAAAGAAAAAAAGAAAAAAAAGAAAAAGTTTAGATTTGACTCTCAGGTTTTAAATGTTTCATGTCTAATTGTATTTAGTGCAGTTATCAATGCAATTTTACATTCTTACAGTACAATTGGCACAGAAAGTTGTTTTTTATTGTAAATGTTTAAAGGAGTGGTGTTAATTGTATCTTCTTTCTTTTTTCTTTTTTTTAATTTGAGTTAGATCGTAATTCCTAAACAGGTAGGATCTTAATTCATTCTTTAAGATGTCAACGGCGTGTAAATAAAATATGCTTTCTGGATGTAAATCTTAGAAATCCACAGTGAATGTAGGCTGTTAATAAATAATTTAAAACTTGATGTTCAATATGGTGTACATACAGTAAAACTACTTGCTTTTTTGCTCAAAAGCCATAGGAATGTAATGGAAAATGCTTAGAATTGAATGAACTTTCTAGCACAGTGTACTTTAATGTCTGTATTTTAGAACAGCTGTTCATCCATAACTAAACCTTGAATCACCTGCTCTCAGTTAGTGAAAAGAGCTCTAAGTGAGGGATGGCTAGGTATGGATAATAATAAATTAACCTGTTGGTTAAATACCAGTTTTTTGGAATTGATGGAATCCTTTAAACATGAATTTGCAGAATTTATTATTTCAGCTCTTTAATATGATGGAATAGCTGAAATTTGGTGCATCTAGAGGCTGCCAGGACTAAGGTTATTCCAAACTGAGTACTCTTAAGGGTTGGGCTTCTACAGAACCGTGGAGGTGTGCAAGCCTGACCTTGAAAATCATGGTTCTAATTCAGCCTTTGTACCAATTGCTTCCTTGTATAAAATGTATTACTTTCAGCTGTTTTTTATCTTGTTCACTTACTCCTGTGGTTGGTTATTTACATTCAATAGTCTGTCCCAATGTTCTATCCTCTTCAGTGACTTCAAAAAATAAAGTTTCACAATTATCACTACTAAGTAGAGTGTTTCCTGTCTTCTGTATTTTCTTTCCAGGCTCCCTTGCTTTACTGGGCTTGCGAAATCATGGAAGTTAAATCCAATTCAGAGCTGTAGCAGGATGCTCCTCAGCTTATTTAAGAAGTGTTTTATATGTAGACGCTTTGCTAGTTAACAGAGAACGTGCTAATGAGCAATTTTTCAGGTTTAATAGAAACAACTCGAGGTGGGATAGCTGGTAGAAAGTTTCAGTGCGACTGCCTGCTAGCAATCAGTCCCGGTCTGAACTTGACAGCTACGGAGCACGTGGCTGCTCTCCGTACCGTGTGGGTACGTGGCTCCTCCCGTCAGGAGCGCGCCGCCGTCCCCGCGGCGCGAGCCGAGCGCGCGCGCGGGTCGACCGTTACCGCGCACGCGCGGCGCCCTGTAACGGTCAGGCACGCGGCGCTTCCTCGCCTTCTCACAGAGCGCAGGGTGGAGCTGGAGACGGGGGTAGAGTGAAGGAAGAGGGCTGGTTTCGTGTCGTGAGCCTCAGCATCCTGTTGTTAGCCTAGCCCACATCCAGGAGTTGCAGTGATAGCAGAGCAGGTGGGGCTGGGCTGCTGTCTTGCAGGCGCTGTGGAGCACGGAGGGCAGAGGGGTGCCTTTTCTCCACCTGACAGTAGCGACGTGGGGAGCATAGGTGATCTGAGCTCACGGTGCTCAGTTGTACGAGACTGACAATGGGACTGCTGCTCTCCAAGCTCTATGCTGTGTCAAATTTTTCTTTCTCTTTTTGAGTGCTAAAACCAAGCAGCTAAATTCTATTTGAAGCCTGAATGCCATGAATGCTGCAACGCGAACAGTTGCAAAGTTGTTCTTACGCTAAAAGCATCTGTTTGTGTTGGCTTGGTGGCTTTTCAGGACCGAAACAGCTGCTTCAGTGTTGTATTTTTCAGTTTCGTGTTAATTGAGTTAATCTTCAGTACTGCACATACTTGTTTGGTCAAGACTTATTTCATTCCCTTTTAGGATATCTAAATTATCTGGAAGAATAGTGGGATAGAAAAATTAATGATCTTCAAGTAAATAAGACGCACCTGACTGTCTGCCTGTGACTATGGAGAATCAAATATTGTTTGACATAAGATCAGCTACAGATGATGGATTTCTAACTGAAATATTACATCAGAATGTTCTTGATAGTTCTGAAAACTTCAGTTTGGAAACCACAGTAATTAATAATCCTGTTGAAGAAGGATTGCCATCCAGTCAAGGCAATCAGTTATACGCTATAAATGTGGAAGAGTCTTTGTTGGATCACTTTGAGAATCCTCTTTCCACTGAAAATCAGAATACAATAGCAGTTGAAATATATCCGCATGGAAACAATAGCTGTGACAATGAAGATCTTGAAAAATACAAAGCATTAAATCTTCCAGAAGAAGCTGATTATACGCATTCACCTTACCTGCCTTCAGATGGTGACCATTTCCTTTCTTCTGTAGTGACACAGCATAAAAATGGCAGTGTTCCAACTTCAAGTGTTTTCTCTTCAGCAGGAGCAGTCAATCAAAATGTTGGAGCCGTACCTGTAAGATGCATAAAATAAGTATTTTTGTGTATGCTTCTTTGTAGTTTATAGGTAGAAGATCACCACATTAAAACTTGAGATGGGATCCATGTGATCTTTGAAGTAATGTCATAAATCTTGTACTAGAATGAACTTAGTAGTGCACACAGAAATCAAATTAGTTTGCTTGTGCTATAAATAACATGCAGTGAACGTACAGTTCTGTTTGCTGTTCTTTCTTGCCTGTATTTGGGAGCACTGTTTTTAAATGGCTGGGTATTTTGCTTATTGAGAAAGAAAGTTACCATGCAGTACCTGCTTCAGTTTTATCTATTACTGCTGATAGTAGCAACCATCTGATAGTTGGACAAAATAGAAACATAGTATCATAGAATGGCCTGGGTTGAAAAAGACCACAGTGATCATCCAGTTCCAACCCGCCCCCCGCTATGTGCAGAGTCATCAACCACCAGACCAGGCTGCCCAGAGCCACATCCAGCCTGGCCTTGAATGCCTCCAGGGATGGGGCATCCAGAGCCTCCTTAGGCAACCTGTTCAGTGCCTCACCACCCTCTGAGTGAAAAACTTCCTCCTAACATCTAACCTAAATCTTCCCTGTCTTAATTTTAAACCATTCCACGCTCTTGTTTTTATGCTCCCTTCAAATGTTGTAGTCACAGTGAGGTCTCCCCAGAGACTCTTCTCCATTATGTTAACTTTTGTTCTTTAGTTGTGCAGCTGACATGCATCTTGTCATCTTAGTGTAGTCTGAATGTGTTTGCAATTGATTTATTTGCAATGGTAAACTGTGGCCTGTGTTGTTAAATATCTGTAGAGGAAGTAGTTTTGTAAGTGGCGTGCTTTGAAGGTAGCATCATCTATTAATTAATTACTGCCTATAAAGACGTGCAGCATTAAACTTTCAGTGATGGTCAGGGGACCAAATCCATCTGCTTAATGCGGACTATTCATATTTTGAATACTTAGATGTGCTTGTACCTAAGGAAATCACCTAATTCAGCTTGTGCTCTGTAGGCAGCTTCTGGGGGAATACTGTGTCCTCTGGGAAGCTATTTTGAAATAACTAAGTGCACCGGTTTCTTTCCAATGTAAATATTTTAACAAACGTTGCTACTTTAATGTTCAGAAATTCAAAAAGGCATTAAAACTCACCAAAAATTAACAAAAATCACTTGGTTGAGAATGGGTCCGATGCTTGTTTCTTGCCATATCCCACCAAGGTGCCAGACTGAAAATCAGGTGGCAGCTGTAGAGCATTTCCTGGTGCCATTTCATCTGAAATTGTTTGAAGTCTTCCTTGGCATTAACCTTATGTGTTTTAGCTTGCTTTCTGAATTCAGGTTAAGGTTTACAGAGATCTCTAGCTTCAGAGATTCTTTAAATGCACGTCCAATAGTATCAGTAGTTCTTTAATAATCAAACTCTTCATTCTTTGGAACTATTAGTAAGTTTCAAATCTCTCAAGAACGTATATGATTAGGGTGTAATAATTCCTTTCTTCAAAGTCAAGCTGGGGGTAAAGAAAATGTGTTTGGCTCACTTCTTACTTCTACACAATGGTCTAAAAATGAAATTTGGAATCTCTCAACCATCTCTTTTCCTGTTATCCTTACAGCTTACCACACTGAATCAGTTTCCTTCATCTGCTATGTTTCCTGAAACTATTAGAACAAAATTATAATCATGTTATGAACGCTAATTTTGCTGAATTAAAGCCAGTTGGCTGTTCCTATACTGCTTGTTTATCCCCCTGAACTACTGTCAGTGTTAAGCAGAGGCAGCAGGAAACAGAGATGGAAAGAAATTTGTCTGGTTCAAACAATCTCAGCTCTAACTTCAAACTACAGAATAGTTGGTTTCTATTTGTTTCATTTCTGTTCATTTACTTTATCACGGAAAATTGAAATGTAGGTGTTAGATATGATGCTCTTATAGTTACCAAAGTGTTAGATCTAAAACATAACTGCACACTGAACAGAAGAAGTAAAAGACACTTGTCAATATTATCTGGTAATGCTGGTTGTTCTGCACCATTTATGTGCTTAATTGTAATTTAGAAATACAAATAATTTTCAACTTGAAGATCACTATAAATCAGTTTCTGTTTATCTCTGTGTTCTTGTTTGTTTTTTTTTTTAAAGGAGATGTGTAATATATAAAGTAGTTATAAAACATTCTTTTCTTCAGGCGTTCAGATCATTAATGCCTCCAGCTGAAGATGAGAATAACTGTATTTATTATGATCAGTTTAAAGGAATCCAAAACAGTCCTATGCAGTCAAAAAACTTGCCAGATTGCTTTAATGGTAAGTGCCACAGCTCTGAGTGGGATTATTTATTTGTTTGTTTGTTTGTTTTATTACTTTATTTTAACTCCTCTTACAGGGTTAGAAAAGGGTATGAATGTCTGAATAAAATAATTTCTGGATTTGGGAAGTTGCAGCATGAGCCCCTTCTGATAATGGTCACAGAGCTAAGAAAGTCTGAAAGGAGAAAGTTTTGAAACAGATCAGTGTTTGTTCATGTGTGTTCTTGTTGCTTCAGACACAGAGTTCAGGCGTACTTTTGATTTTCCCTTGCTCTTTATAATGCATTAAGTCTCCCAGCTGTCCTTTGTATGATAGCAGTACAGTTTTCAGTGGAAGCTGACATACACATCAGCCTCGCTAACGTACTCTCATTGCTAAATGACCTTTATCAGGAGGTCACGATTTACCTTTTAGAGGCATCAAACACACATGGAAGCCTGTATTTCCAAAGTCTGCTACAAGAGAATACTAAATATTGTAAGACTGTAACGCTGCGCTGACATCAAAATCTTCTTGATACTGTGAGCCAGCTCCTGGCATTAAAGCCAAGCAAAAGCAAACAGATGCCTTAATAAACAAAACTTTCTTTATTTCATGTACAAGAATGCTTCAGTGGTGTCTACGGCTTGCCTCAGACTAGTGCTTCTGTCTATGATGAAATAGTAAGTATGCATTTGATTTCTAAATTCATGGTATATGCCTGCAATTCAATGAAGATTTTAAGGAGTGCCTGTTAAAGTATAACACTTGTTTTTTCAGACTGAAGTAAGAGATGCAATTAGAAATGTTACGGAGAATCACGAGGACGGAGCAATTTTTCAGAGTTCAAATACTGACGAGTCTAACTGCGAGTTATTAGCACTGCATGGTGTGACAGAGGAATCTGGATATTTACACAGAAATTATTCCAGCCCCCTGGTAATCTATGTCTGGTAACTGATAGAAGAATTACATGCTAAGCAAATGTTAGCTTGCTTGTACCATGCATCCACCAAAATCCCACTTAGTAAGTTTTATGTCAACACTGATTAGACAGTGCTTTGCTCAGACTCAGAGACTAATTTTTATTTAGTCAAAGTGCTGTTTTACATATAAAATGTTATTTTATTACAGTAATATGAAGATTATTTTACAAAGGAACAGTCTTGATTTACAGTCGCATCTGAATAAATGACATGAAACACTGAAGAGAAATTGGGTTTGTTTTGGGTAGGGAATTGAATGTTAGGCCAGCATAGAAGAAAACTAGTTAGAATATGTTACACAAAGCCTCATAGAACAGTTGAGAGAACCAGGAGTGCATCTCACCCTAGGTTGAAGAGCTACAGTATCACAGATTCTTCCAAAACCAAACAAGTTGAAAGGGTCAAAAAGCAGACACCTTTGTGTACAATGATCCATTTGTCTGAGAGACTTCAGTGTGTGATGGTGCAGCTTTATGAAGCATGCTACTCTTACAAAAACTGTTCTGTCTATGCTTAGAGTTACAGTTTCTCAGATGGGAGGCTATCATTATTTACTTCTTCCAGATGGTCTGCCAACTGGAAGGAGGTACTCAAATGCTCTGTATAAAGGATTGTGGCACACAGGATCTAAAAACAATACATCTCATTCCACAGTATGAAGACCAACGTCATTATCTTCAATCTGGTAAAATCAAAGTTATCTCTAGCTTGTCAGATAGCAGACCGTAGTTAACTTGCAAGTGCACGTGTTTAATTTCTTATCAGCAGTGAGCAAAGGTGAGGTGAAGACAGTATAGCTATCACAAGTTATTGTTTCACTTTATTTTGTAGCAATTAAAACAAAATCTAGGCATTTAAATGTTATGAAAATGATGTAATGGACGTGTTGAATGTAATGATAATTTTTAATATACAGATCAACTTCTTTTATGAAAAGGCTTAGCAGAAAGTGCGTGCATACAGTTGCATTTACCCTAGCATACCACGAAGTGTCACTGTTTCACTATAAATGAGGAACATCATTGAGGGCTGTTGGATATCCTCCAGCCTTGGGATTCTAAATGCCCCACAAATGTTTCTGTTCTTCAGTGAACTTGAAATTCCATCCGTTTTTAAAGAAGGTATTTTCTGAGATCTCAAAGCTCATTGTTTATCTATTCAAATATTTAGTGGAACAATACATTTACATCTTAGGAGCAACACTACTTAAGTTTACTTAAATATTTCTTTACCCACATGTAGCTTCCACAGAAACATAAACATTACTTCCTCACTTATCAGTATCTCCTTATTTCAGTGGTGTGTGTCAATCTCGTTGTAAAATCAAAGCCTTTCGTTAGTGGGCACCATACAAGCACTGTTCGTGGTGCCAGTAGATGCTGAATGTTTGAATCTCAGCAGATGCCCTACTTATGGAGCATGTTTATTTCTGTTTATTGGAAGAGTAAATCAGGTACATTCAAATTACAGAAAATGTGCCTATAAAAAACATTCAAGCTCTCATTAATTTGCTGCAACATTAGGGAAGAAAAGTCTGAGGAGAGCACTGATTGTTTGTTTGTTTTACTTTTTATTTGCCCTGTCTTCATTTCATTTTACTGATCTTCCCAGTAAGTAAAGGATGTAGGTCCAGAAGTTGTATCTAAAAGTTTCTTTAAACCTAGATTAATCTTGTCATCTCAGTGAGACTGGTGGAGTAATGCTTATTTTTTTCTACATAGCCTAAGATACTGATTTCCTTAAATGCAGTGCCTCAATGGGGCTTGCACAGAACTCTATTCTTACAGCCATGGGTTTCTTCATAGATTTTCAGCTGTTGTTTCTTTGTCGTTTTTTTAACAGGCTAAATACCTCCTTTCTAGATACTCTGACAGAATTCTGGGAATTCATAAAAGAGCTCAGGATAAACATTTGCTTTGGTCATTTTTCATATCAAAATATTATGTCTATGCAGTTTCTAATTAGATGTACTTGATGTCATAGAGTAAAAGCATCTGTCCACATTCCTAGCTAAAAAACTGGTGAAGAGCTGAGTTCTTCTGTGAAGGAGTTGTTTTGTATTGTCAGTTTTCTTTTTCTAATTGAGAAAAACTTTTCTGAAGAATGAACTGCTAGGTCCTTCTTTGGTACAGCTGTGGAGTAAGTTTGCTCCCCACACTAAACTGAGTAGATAGTGCAAAAAGACACTGTCAGGAAAGATTGTGGATTAGATTTTTGTTTTTTATTAATACAAAAAGTTGAAGCTACCCATTTGCCTGTATGCTTAATTGAGAAAGTTGAATGCATAAATTAAGCTTAATACTTGTGAGCAGTCAGTTAAATGTCATCTTTTCAGATGTGGGCAGCCCTGTAACAGCTGTACTGGGGCAGCTTTTGCCTGTTTCAGGTAACCTGGATTCGAACAAACAAGAGGTAAAGCAGCTTTATTCTTGTCACGTATAAAGCACAGTATAAATTTTCCTTTTCTTAAAATAGGTTCTTGTGTCTAATGGCAGGAGGTAACAATTGTATGTATTTTCTAAATTCATTTTAGCTAGCTTAGGCAGGTCAGTTTTACAATCCTGCGTGCTTCCTGCGTACAAACTCTCCAATTTGAGAATTTTCTTTAAGTAATAACAGAATTTAAAAGTGCAATTCCAATTTTTCAGACTCAAATTTGGTATTTATATAAATTACATTATTTCTGAGAACCATTCTGTAACTCTTTTGAGAGGTGGAAGAAAACACATTGACTTTTACCAGAATGAGAATGTTTTCTTCCAGTAGGATTCCTTGCTCTGTATTTGTTGAGTAGGACCTAATAGTCAGTAAGTCTTTATCATTTTCTCAATTATTATTTGCTAGTGGAGTGATAGAACTGTATTTTAATTTATTTTTAAAAATGAAAACAGAAGACTAAAAATCTTTGTAGGTGTTTGATTTCTCTTGTCATTTCCAACAGAGCTGGTAGCAAAAATCATTGCAAATGTTTACCTGTTAACTTCTGATTTGTGTTAAAGGAATGTAATGTCAGTGCAAACACAGCAGATGGTTTGTGGGTAACAGCCACCCTCGTAAAAGAGGAAATTAAAAACCCAAGAGCCAGATGGAGCAATGAACTATAGAGTCTTTCATCACTAAAAGTAGAGTACTGACAAATTGGTGTCTAAATTTTCTAGAGATGTAGACAGCATTGCAGTTCTCTCTCTGATTTTATCCCCAGCCTGTTGTTCCTTGGATTTCTTCTCTTGCTTTAAATATATTAATTTTCTTCTTCCTTATTGGCAGCTAGGTTGATAACTAGTTAAAATAGCTATTATTTACAAGTACTCACAGCACTTCCTTGTACCTGTTTTACTAGGCTATTATATCATAGAATCATAGAATGGCCTGGGTTGAAAAGGACCACAATGATCATTTAGCTCCAACCCCCTGCTATATGCAAGGCCAACCAGCAGACCAGGCTGCCCAGAGCCACATCCAGCCTGGCCTTGAATGCCTCCAGCGATGGGGCATCGACAGCCTCCTTGGGCAACCTGTTCCAGTGTGACACCACCTTCTGTGTGAAAACCTTCCTCCTAATATCTAACTTAAACTTCCCCTGTCTCAGTTTAATACCATTCCCCCTTGTCCTATCCCTATCCACCCTCGTAAACAGCCGTTCCCCCTCCTGTTTATACGCTCCCTTCAAGTACTGGAAGGCCACAATGAGGTCTCCCTGGATCCTTCTCCAAGCTAAACAAGCCCAGTTTCCTCAACCTTTCCTCATAGGAGAGGTGCTCCTGCCCTCTGGTGGCCCTCCTCTGGACCCTCTCTGTCTGAAGAGAAAATAGATCTGCGTTCCGTTTCGATGGCCTGTAAGCTAATACATTTTATTTAAATTGTTTAGTCTTCAACCAATTAAATGCCATACTGCAGCTGAACGTAATGTACATCATCAAGTCACTAGCCAGTTTTTGTTGATTACTACAATTAAAAGCAACTGAATTTAGAATTATCAGTACACTGAAAACAGTGTGCAAATACTGCAGCACTGGTGGCTGTTCTTGATGCTTTACATTGGAAGAAACGAGTGTCCTGATGTACTGAGCAGTTTCAAAGACAAATGCATGCAGTTTTTACAGCCTTATGCTTCCATGAATTTTATAGCTTTACGTGGCAAACAAAGCATCCTCAGAACATTTTCTTTGTATTGCTTTTTTTAACTCACAGTAGTTTACTTCTAAAATTTAATATAAGCAAGCTGTATATATTTTATCTTGAACAGTTTGAACATGAATACTTACAATCAGTAGCTAGCACTTCCACTTTCCAACCAGAATCGAATCTGCAAGTGGAAATGACTTCAGCTGGGTAAGATGCTTGCAACGCTTAGTCCATTATGAGCTTTGAATTTTATACTGGCAAAGACTCTTAGACATTTTGTGTAATATAGCTGCTTCTCACACAATTTGGCAAGAGTGATTTGTGTACTCATCTTGATAGCCATTATTCCATTTACTGGTGGTCAAGGCTTGCAGGATTTCTTAGGATCAATGCAACTGTGCTGTAAATGTGTCCTAAAAGCATTTAATTTTCGGAGTTAATTGATATGTTTTAAAATATAATTAACATGTGTTTAGCTTGTATTTCTAACAATAATGGGATTCTTTTAATAAACCTTAATTGCAGATGGTTTTTAAATGCAAGGCAGATGCGAGCCCGGTGTGACAGATGAGAGTGTTTTGCAGTTGTGCTGCAGTTACTGGGTTCTGAGTGGTTGCTGACCTGCCCCTAGGAATGACCACTGGTGGATCACAGGGAGGGGGCAGGGAGAATTTTGCAAAGTTTCAAAAATATAGACCAATCCATGATTTGTATATTTATTTTCTTATTTTCTTCCTCTTTCAACCTGTGTAGCCAACCTTTTGGTTCGGGGATTACGAAGTCTAAGAAACCATGTAACTGCACAAAATCTCAGTGTCTTAAACTGTGAGTAATAGCTTAGCAACATTTAATAAATATTAATAGCAGTGTATTTTTGAAAGAATAAACATACAATAAGTGTATTCTAATGAACAAGCTATATGGGGCAAAAATTGCTCACCTGATCTTTAGTTAAAGATCAACGGTTTGTGTCAGCTAGTATCACACGAATTCACAAGTCAGGGTGTAGATGTGGATGACTAACAATTAAAACCATGGAAAATATGAAGAGAACCTAGAAGGCATTGTTCTAGAAAATCATTTATAGAATGAAAATGCTGTATATTGAAGTATCATTTCTCTATCTCACTTCTGTACAGCAATAATCTACATAACTACTGTGCAGAATCTTATTATGTATTTACATGCATACATAAAATGCACACAAGATGCGTACATGAGGATTAAAATTTGATCCATTTGTGGAGTGGGTGTTTTTAAAACAATGTGAAAATGAACGAGAGATAGAGAGAAGGTCTCTGAGTATTCAATCTGGATATGATTGAATAACAGAGGAGGGCTAGGAGCTATGAATTCTGCCTTGAAGTAGAGTAACATTTAAAGCCAGTTAATCTTTTCATTTCTGAAGTTGTGTTTATATGTTGATTGCAGATATTGTGAATGCTTTGCCAGTGGTGACTTTTGCAACAACTGCAATTGCAATAATTGCTACAACAATCCACTTCATGAAACTGAGCGCTTTAAAGCCATTAAGGTAAATAAATAAATAAATATAAAATACTGTATGTACCAATATCAGCTTTGTGTATGAAAAATAGTAGTTTTTTTTCCTCTAGTTACAATCTTTGAAATATGTTATTTTTATACAAAATATCACCAACTGCTGCTGCTATATTTTTTCTTACATAAAAAATAACTTTTTTCTCTTTTAATCTACTTTTAAGGAGCCTGTGATACTTTTGATTACAGCTAGTGGTATATTAATGGAATGATAATTTTCATTCTTGGAACAAAATGTGCAACTCCAAATTTAATTTCAGAAAATGTTTTCACTTGAAGGAAAATTTGTGTCCCAAAGTCAGAATTAGGTTGATGATGTTGGTTGATGAAAAACTCAGCATGAGCTGGCGATGTGCACTTGCAGCCCAGAAGGCCAACTGTATCCTGGGTCACAGCAGAGAAGTGCGACCAGCAGGTTGAGGGAGGTGATTCTGCCCCTCTGCTCAGCTCTCATAAGACTCTACCTGGAGTATTGCTTCCATTCCTGTGTCCTTCAACACAAGGACATGGAGCTGTTGGAACAGGTCCAGAGGATGTTCACGAAGATCATCAGAGGGCTGGAGTACCTCCCCTATGAGGACAGGCTGAGAGAGGAGAGCTGGGGCTCTTCAGTCCAGAGAAGAGAAAGGTCTGTGGGGCATTGTATAGGACCTGAGAGGGCCTACAGGAAAGCTGGGGAGGGACTTTTTAGAAGGCCGTGTAGTAACAGGACAAGGGGAAATGGTTTAAAGCTGGAAGAGGGTAGATTTAAACTAGATATTAGGAAGAAATTCTTTACTGTGAGAGTGGTGAGACACTGGAACAGGTTGTACAGAGATGTTGTGGATGCCCCCTCTGTGTAAACATTCAAGGCCAGACTGCATGGGGCTGTGAGCAACCTGGTCTAGAGAGAGCTGTCCCTGCTTATAGCAGGGGCTGAAACGAGGTGATCTTTTCAACGCAAACCATTCTATGATTCTATGAAATTATCATTTTCTGAATTATTATTTTAATTTGCAGATCCTTGGTAGTTGTCTGTGCTAGTCTTTCTGGTTGACTAAACAACAATGCAAAGCAAAGCTTGTGCTCATCACAACAGCACTGAACCCTTTACTCCTGAGAAGCAGTGAGACTCCACATTTGGAAGCTGATTTTATTAGTGGAATACTGAACAGTACAGGGGCTAACTTTTGAATGTTATCAAACTGCATACTCTGGGCAATTATTTATTTTATACTAATATGTATCTGTTATGTAAGGTTTAAAGTGAAAATGAAACATCTGTATCTACTGATACTCTAAAATAAGGATATGTTGGTAGCTTAGTGTTTCTTGTGTGCACCTATCCAGATCTCTTTTGTATCATTCACATAATCTCTGGACCGTACAAGAAGTTCATTTAATTAGAATTTTGCTGAATCCAACCAGGCAAAGCCTCAGCAGTTTTTGGTATTGATATGCTACAACTGGGTTTTGAATTCAAATGCTCCTCAGCAGTTGAATTGGTGAGGTTGTAGCAGTCCAAGCACTCCTTTCACTGCCGCAGATAGCATCATGATAGTGTGTGAGAGATTTGTCCTTCAGAAAAGCATATCAGTTTCTGTGCCTCTCTTTAATATTGTACATAAAGTACATAGAATCCCTTTAGTCTGACTTATATGGCATGATACAGTGAGATAGTAGGACCTGAAAAAAGCTAATGTCCAGTGGAATAGCCAGTGCTGATTTCTGAGTATCAGCTTTGTATTAGACCATTATATGGTTAATAACTCTGACATGTCTATAGCTATATACGGATGGGTTCATTTTTCTTTTTGTTTCTGGTGAAAGTAGTATCAACAGAGGGACAAAAACAGCCCCAAAAGAATAACAGATGTGTGGGTCATTTACAGAATTACAGGAACAGCAAGGTTGGAGAAGACCTACAAGATCACCCAGTCCATCCATCCACCCATCACCAATAGTTCTCACTAAACCACGTCCCTCAACACAAAGTCCAACCGTTCCTTGAACACCTCCAGGGTCGGTGACTGCACCACTTCTCTGGGCCGCCCATTCCAGTGCCTGACCACTCTTTCAGAAAAGCAGTATTTCCTAACGTCCAACCTAAATCTCCCCTGGCGCAGCTTGAAGCCATTCCCTCCAGTCCTATCACCAGTTGCACAAGAGAAGAGGCTGACCCCAAGCTCACTACAACCTCCCTTCAGGTAGTTATACAGAGCAATAACGTCTTCCCTGAGCCTCCTCTTCTCCAAACTGAACAATCCCAGCTCCTTCAGCCACTCTTCATAAGGCCTGTGCTCCAGACCCCTCACCTGTTTTGTTGCCCTTCTTTGAACCAGGGCCTCAATGTCTTTCTTGCAGTGGAAAGCCCAAAACTGGACACAGTACTGGAGGTGCAGCCTCACCAGAGCTGAGTACAGCGGGACAATCACTTCCCTGTTCCTGCTGGGAACACTGTTTCTGATACAAGCCAGGATGCCATTGACCTTATTGGCCACCTGGGCACACTGCTGGCTTGTGTTCAGCCGAGCATCAATCAATACCCCCAAGTCCATTTCTTCTACACCGTCTTCCAGCCACTCTGCTCTAAGTCTGTAGCGTTGCCTGGGGTTGTTGTGGCCAAAGTGCAGGACCCGGCATTTGGCCTTGTTGAACCTCGTTGCATTGGCTTTAGCTCAGCTCTCCAGCCTGTCCAGATCCCTCTGCAGGGCCTTGCGACCCCCAGGCAGATCAACACTTCCAGCCAACTTGGTGTCACCTGCAAATTTACTGAGAGTGCACTCAATGCCCACATCCAGGTCATCAGTAAAGATATTGAAGAGGACAGGCCCCAGCACTGCCCCCTGCGGAACACCACTCGTGACCGGTCACCAGCTGGAGTTAGGATAGTCCATAAAATCATGGTAGATCCCACTCAGCTCTGAATCCTGGAATCTTTGAATTGTTGCCTTCGCACACTTTGGGAAACTTACGTATGTTTCTCTTATCACCAAATGAAAACAAGAATTTCTTTGCTAAATACTGGGAGTCACTCAGATGCTATAAAACAGTCTTCGAATGTCTCTTAATGTAATGCTTTTTGGTTTAGGTCTGCCTTGATAGAAACCCAGAAGCTTTTCTACCAAAGATTGGACAGAGCAAACTGGGAGATATTAAACCTCATCATAACAAAGGATGTAACTGCAAGCGTTCAGGATGTCTTAAGAATTATTGTGAGTGCTTTGAGGTGAGTCTGTTGGATTTTCCTGTCAGTGGTTATCACATTAACATTCATTGTATTCTATAAACAGTAGTCTTTAGAAAGAATTACTCATCTCTTTGAATAGTTCATCATAAATTTTTTTGAATGCAAGGGAAGCAGTCTCTCTCTTGCCATGTCTTCTCATGACTTCAAGTAATTAATTCTAGCTGAAGTTGATCAGTTAAAATGTTCAGTATTATGAGCTCTCAGCCAGTGCTGTGCTCCAGTTGAAAAGAGGAATGTATTTCTGCCTACTCAGATAGTCTTTGCTCAAACCACGAGTTTATGGGGGCATTGATTTGTCCAATATACAGAGCAGAGAGAATCATCATTCTCCAAAAAGGATTCCTGCAAGGAACAAACTTGTTTCCTTACATTGATACTGATGGTCTCTCTCTGGGAGTATCCAAGACACGTGCATCTAGAATAAGTCCTGGAGATTTACCTCTAGTTGTTGCTTAGCTTATATTGCATTCAAGTTTTATACATTTTTATTCTAAGTATTCTATATTTGCCAGGCAAAGATTGCATGTTCCTCTATTTGCAAATGCATTGGTTGCAAAAATTATGAAGAAAGTCCAGGTAAAAAAACCCAGCTGACCACACTAAACTGCGTGGATATTGGAAATAATGATGAAAATAACCCATTTTTGACAACAACATTTGAAACTTCACCAAAATTGGAGAAAGACAGGTGAATATTTGGAAATAGATAATACATTGATCTGACTTCATTAATTTTTCAGTTAGCTGTTATTCATTTATTTTAACCTGCTCAGTTTGGAAAAAGGCCTTCAAGATAATTGAGTCCAACCGAAACATAACCAAACTACCCTAACTCTAACAGCCCTCTGCTGAATCGTGTCCCTGAGCACCACATCCAAAAGGATTTTAATTTGTAATGGGTTATTATTCACTAATGAATTTCTATTGTATTTATCTAAGAAATGGTGACTAAAATGACAGACAGTTTATATAAAAGAAGTCACAAAGTTTTTGCCCTTCTAAGTAAATAAAAAATATCTAAGGGGGAGGCTGTTCCTATCCTTTAGGAATATAATATGAAGAGTTCAGGGATATGAGTTCTGCTTAAAAAACAGCACTTATTTTTGTACTGTTCACGTACTCAGTTCTCTTCATGCCCTGCCTCCCATTTATTTCTTACAAAACTGCTCCTAGAAGTATGTTAAAAGGTTTGTGGATTTCATTTAAGGAGCATGTTTATACCGCTCCTCCTTCCATCTCTTCGTCCTTTGGCTCGCTACTTGTCAATTTGACTTTGGCCGTTTGCTTGCAATGTTTTTCAAGAAGACCATATTATCCTAATGTTATACTTAGTAATGCAGTTGTATTTTTGGTTGGTTGTTTTTAGTCATTGACTTAATAAAGAAAAACACCTGTTAATAAAAGTTCAAATTAATTAAAGCACCTTTTTTTTTTTTATCTTATTGAGATTTATTCTGGGCTTTTAAATTCTCAGTTTGCATTCAGTATTTTCTTTGCATTAACCACTGCCTTGAAATTCTTATGCCAATTCTGTTTTAAAAGCATTCTGATGATCTCTTTTGAAAATATTTGAATAATTTCTGCTGTGGGTAATATGCTGATTGGATAGATGGTTCCAATGGAGTGAGTGTTGCTATTAATGTAGTGCAAGGAGTTACGGTGTTAACAACTGGTAGTTTCAAGAGCTTTTTTCAAAGAAATGTTGGTAAGGTGCCATTCCGAGAACCCTTGAGAGTCTTGATTCTACTTCTTTCAACAGCAGTAATCTGATACAGTTAGTACCTCCTAGATTCTGACTAAGACTTTCTTTGTACATGATGTAGGATCTGACTGTGGCTGGCTTAACTAAAAGCTGTTTATTGTATAACCTTTCCCTGCTACACTTACTGGTCAGCATTTGTAGAGATCAACTCTGTGGTGTGAACACAGTCTTCCATGTGATTAATTAGAAAAATTCAGAAGCAAACCATTGGAAGTAAAAACTATTCAGTGTAAAATGGAGATTTCTACAGAGATGCGCCTCACTGTAACAGAGCAGCTGGTCTGAGTCAGCTCTGTGCATTCCAGCTCTTGGATAGGAGGTTTGCAGTTTGTCTTTTAAATTATTTTCTGTATTTAAAATGCATATATTTTATCCTAGTTTCTTTTTCCATGTCAGGGAACCAGCTGTATCTGTTTCTTTGGAAGATGTGAAAGCAACATGTGCTTGTCTTCTGGTGCAAGCTGAAGAGGCAGAAAAAGGAGGTTACTCTGTCCGTGTAGCTGAACGCATGATCATGGAGGAATTTGGGAGGTGTTTATCCGAGATCCTACATGTGCAATTAAAAGACTGAAAGTTGAATAATGTTCAGTGCATTATAAAGTCAATGAGTAGTAATACTGATATACTGTCATAGTCTAAATGATCTTACCTTGAATTTTCATAGGACTAATTTCACTGACCTCAGCTGCATTCTTTCTGAATTATGCTGATGTAAGTGAAACTTGGGGTTTTCTGGGCCAATTGTTCAGTCTTTACATAGACTGCAGTTTAAAGTAAATTTAACTTAGGATGAATTTGTTGAATGTTTATGTGAGTGCAGAGCCAGTAAGCACTGAGAAAGAAGTTGCTATCTTAGTTTGGTTGTTACTGGTTGTGAAACAGTTCGACTTCCAGCGATGGCTGGCAAATCTGCTGATTTAGCTTTGTGTCTTCTCTGATTTGGCAACTTATTTCTCTCATTGCTGCCATATCATTATGATTGCTGCCATGTCGTTTAGATGATATATAAAAATTATATAAAAATATATGAAATTATATAAAAATTAATGCTCTTTAATTTTGGATGTTTTGTGCTGGTTTAATATTTGCTTGGATATTTTTGGCTTTAAGCTCGAAAGAATAAAGATATTCTCTGTGTGTGTTGATTCATAATTCTTGGTAGGATAGCAGATATGATTGCATGTTATTTAAAAATGTATTTAATAAGAGGTTGGGCTTTTTAAATGAATGGTAGTTTATATATGAATGGATTGGATTATACATCTTTGTTTTTAACAACTGCTGCAGGGGATTGCTGAAGGTTGCTGGAGAAAATGGGTTCTCAAAGTGCTCCTAATGGGACATGGTATCATCTCAATGTATCACTCCTTCCTTGATCCTTCACTTCCTAAGACCATTCCCTTTTATTTTAGAGTTAATATCTACATAATGGCATTGTCTTAAAATGTTTGTTCCCAGAGAGTTACTATGGGGTCATGAAATCAGAAGAGCACGCACAGCTATAGAGTCAACAGACTCTAAATAAATAAGTGGAGAAATAAAATACATTAAAAGTAGGGGAGATGAGTGGTGGGGAAGGTAAGAAATTCTACAGCCAAATGTAAAAGGTAGAAGAGCAAGCTGGGGAGAGGTACAAATGTAGTGCAAATAGAAAAGTAAGGAAAATGAGTTAGATAAGACTTGACCTACAGCTTTCAGCAGCACCCTTAGGCAAGAGCTGTCTCTAATTTTTCTTAATATATTTTTTAAAAAGAATGAGCAAGCCCATGGGTTCATAACTCCATGAACTGATTACATTTTAACCCTGCAGATAAAAAAAAAAGTCTAGATCTTTTTGAAACTGCCAACATCTTTAGCCTCATTGAAAATAGCAAGAAATCTTCCTTTTTTTTTTTTCTTTTTTTTTTAATTCCTTTTTTTCCCTTTCTTTTCTTTTTTTTTTTTTTTTAAGATGGATAAAGTTGAGATTATTTAATGGCTACAACTGCAAACTTATTTAAAGCAAACATTCTCATCAAACATCTTTTTTCTATTTTAGTTTTTAACAACGGATATGTCAGAGTACTTCAAAGGCTTGGTAAACTGTTGTCAAGATTTCCAGTGCAGGGGCTTGGGGGAGGGGGGAAGGGGAGGAGGATGCAGTGGAGTGATAACTGAAGTTATGGCAAAGAATTGTATGGATTTTGATACACTGGGTAAAAAGTCCTGTGAACAGCAAAAATATGCAGTCTTGCTTTCCATTTTCATAAAGGAATTTGAGGATAGTATTCAAAAGTGCAAGACAAAAATAATATTTTGGTTTATTTGCAACTTCGTTTTCAGCCAACATCAATACACTATTTGCAAATTCTTGAGAGGAATGTTTAGAATTGCAATCCAAGATCTGATCATGTCTCCTTACCAGACTTCTATAAGCTCTCTCTTACCAGAGAGAAATATCCTTTGCTTTGCAGTCAGGCCTTATTCATGTCATTCTTTTGGCTTTATGTACATTTGTGAACAACTTTTTCAAGGGTGAAGCACAGGAAGAGTGGAAAAAAAAAAAAAAAAGATCTTTTTCATCAAAAATCTGACAAACACCTTGAGAACACACTTAGAATTGCAGCCACCACCATCAAACCAGACTGATGTTAGTTTTATTGCTTTTTTTTATACATTTTAATTTAAAAAAAAAACATTAAAATAAGTTTGTTACTTATATGCATTAACCATATTACATTTATTTTATGAAGGCTACTCTGAAAGTAATGCTTTCTGTTTTGTTCTATTGGCCCACAGTGCCAGAGGTGGATGTTGGTGGTGTGGCTCGAGAGGTTGAACCTTCCTGCCAACATTCTGTTACATCTTGTTGCTGAGAGACAGGTGGCAGCAGAGGGGCAGTCTGACAAAATGGTGTCTGACATCGAAGTGTACATGAAGCAAAGGTATGGAATTGGTTTCCTCCACATGGAAAAAACTGAAATTCATCAATGCTTGCTGAATGTCTATGCTGATGAAACAGTGATGTGAGCACAGGGAGGTGGTGAATGGTGTGCTTCAGCAGTGGCAACAGCAGCAGTGGCTCATCTCTGCTGGTGCAGATTGTTACAAACATGGGCATGTGGGCTCTTGTTCACTGCTGGTGAAAATGCATACCTAATGGTGGTGAGTGTACTGAAAAACAGTTTTGTAGCTGCGAATTTGCTCTAGTCGTGCGATTTTACTCTTTACATTGTTTGTCATTTCCATGGCAATAATTAAGAGGCATTACTTTCAGACCAACCTTTGCAGAATGCGGCAACCTTTGCAGATGAGTTCAGTGTGGCCAGGCAAGCCAAAAGGCTGGACACTCACAATGTAATGTAATGTCAGTGGGAAGATGGTCCAGCATTGCGTTTAGAAGTAGCCCTTTTATGTAGAAATAATTGCATAATTTAAGCATGTTTGATGGGGACAGTAAATTAGGTGTGTGGCACAGGAGTTTGGGTATCTGTGTTTTGGCATATTCAGGGAATTTTCAAAATGAGAGATAGTATATTATGCTGTATTTGTCTTGCATTAATCTCATACTTTACAGCTTTTATTAGTCATCAGTGGCACCCGGAAAAATATTTCCTCTCCTTTACATGTCATTCTTAGAACCTCTCAATGCTTAATACTGCTATATGCTGAGGAAAGATGCAAGCAGAGTGTATTCCCTTTCCAGAGATACAAATTCTCCTGTTTAACTGTGCATGCTCAGATTGATTGCTTTGGTATCATGAATGAATTTTCAACCACATAAGATACAGAATTCACTGGGAATTTTGAAAATTTTCTTTTATAACGTAGATCTACGTAGGACCATCTGTGAAATTTTTCATGTTCCGCCAGTTCCAAAACTTATCTGTTGTTGATGCTCTCAGTCTCTGATTCTTTCTGTATCACAGTTTTGTTTTGAATCGCTTGAGTTGTGTGTGAAATGTACAACAAACTGCTGGGAAGTGTTTGGGGAATGTAAAGCAGATGTTCTGTGGGCCCTTTGAAACTGTACACATCATCAACAAGGGACCGTGTCTGAAGATACACCTCTCTGTGCCTACAATCCACACCAGCAATGTGCGTAGTGCCTCAGCATGGAGAGCTCTTGGGACTAATAAAATGATCTGCTTGTTGCTTGGCAAGTCTGTAGTGATGAGGTAAATACAAAGTCAAACCAGGAATTCAAATAAGTGAGCCAAGATCAACATGGTTTGTAGGTGGGCATAGGTATGTCTGAGAAGTAGCACAGGAGGGAGCAAAACCTGAGTTTAAGGACACCTCCTGGGTGAAGGCGGAGGCTTCTCACAGCACTGGGATCCTCAGTGTGGTCAGCACAACAGGTATATTGTGCTGCTCCGGGTTGATTTGGTTAGGCAAAGATCTGTTCAGTAGGAAACAAATAGACAGCGTGTCCCCATTTTATACTCACCATCATTCCTTCTTCCTCCACTTCTTCCATCCTTGTTTGATAGTTTCAACCTTGCTGGTGACTGCAGTAAATCAGCCCGTGCTTTTTAACAATATTTTCATTTTTCACTCAAAGGGACTTCCTGGTTCTACATTTTCAGTGTTTTACATCTAAAAACTTCTCACGTTATTCTATTAGGTTAGCTCAGATTGTGGCTGGGCCTTTCCCTTATCTGCAGTATGTGGCAGTTTCTCACACTTCTACCCTACTGGGCTAAAGCTGGCTAAAGTTTGGGCATCTGTACCTTAACAAGTAATGAGTATTACTGAAAGTGACAAACTTCGAACACATATAAAATAATTAGATGAATTACGTGATGTTTTACTGCACTGACAATGTTAGCAATCTTACTGTACAATAAAACTCATAATTTGTCATAATTTGACTTCTGCCTTTAGGTGAATTTTCTTTGGTTTGGTTTTTTTGGTTTGTTTTTTTTTTTTAGTTTTTTTTCAAGATTATTTTTCTAAAGGCAGAAATAACTGTGATACCTGTTGCAATTAGGCTTTATGTGTATGGTCAGTATTTTGGGCATGTCTGTATTTCTGGTATGTGGCAAAACAACATTAAGTCAGCTCATTCTGTTGAGCTGCATGTCATCAGTAGGTCAGGATGCATGGAGACCATCTGTATCCTTTTCCAAATGTTGCAGCATGGCAACCTGCTGTGGCATACTTTTTTGTTTAGTTATTATCATTCCTTTTAACAATCACAGTCAGTAACTAATGAAGCTGTATCAGACCTGCCCTTTGAGATGTGCTAGTAGTTAGATGTTCCTAATAAAGTGAACAGCACAGAGCTCTGTGCTTTGTGGCTAAGGAGAAACATGAGGACTTCGGAGAACTAAGTTCTGTTAGCTCTGCTGCAGGCTTCCTGGCAGAACCTGAAAGAGATTTGCTGAACTTCCATGGCCTTGTTTCAAGGAAAAGGACCTTCTCGAATTGGAATTCTTGTCCATTCTATATAACAAGATGACTTACGCTTTTCCTGCAATCTTCCAGTTGTTTCAGGCTCAGTCCATAAAACATCTAGCCCATTTACTTAAACGGGATCTTAGTCAGGTCTTTACAACAAGCTAGAAGCAGCAGATCCTGAGCAAGTACCTAACACAATGGGGCTCTGAACTGAGCCCTCTACTGTAGCAGAAATTACAGAAATACTGCTAATATTTTAGGGAGAGCAAAAGGTATATGGTGAATTTGCCAAACCCTGTAGCTTACCCTATAAGCATACCCCCAAAATGATGCTTTCATATATCTTCTTTATAGTGTGGATGTTTGCCAGTCAGTATTACTCACTTCAGAGACCAAATGTGACTCATTATTGAATTACTACAATCTGTGCTGATGTAGAAGCACCCCTGACACATCTTGTTGTGAGCCATTTTTTCAGAGTAATTGCATTAGTAATAGCCGATTACACAGCAATCTTGTGTTCCTACAAAATTAAGGTAATTACTGTAGCTAGAAACACATCCCTCTGTATTCTGTCCTGGCAAGGAAGCTGGTAAAAGGCAGTGCAACGTTTCAATTCTTTGTAACAAGAGAAACATGAAGCTGTAATTACATTATTGGTGTGGGGGAGGGGAAGTTTTTACAT